CAAGGACTATGCTGGGGTGCTCGCTGGGGGATCTGAAGTAGTGTACATCGATGCCAAGACTGTAAAACAAAAGCGTAATCACCCCACTATCCCCAAACCAACAAACCAAGCACCTATCTCCACCTCAACGGCTCTGTCTTTGCTCCCCAGGCGATGCGTGCGACCCAAACCCATGTGAAAACGGGGGCATCTGCTTGTCGGGGCTGACGGATGAGTCCTTCTCCTGTGAGTGTCCAGACGGCTTCACGGACCGCAACTGCTCTAGTGTTGTGGAGGTTGGTAAGTGCAAGGCTTAAACCTTTCCATCGCTGTCCTCTTCATTTCCGTGAACAACGGGCAGATCTCGCTGCTGGGCCTGGTGACACACGTCTGTGCTCTGAGCACTTCAAGAGGCTGAGGCAGGAGGGTCAGTTGAAAATTCTACCCAGTCTGGGCCACCTGGTGATTTAGCCAGACTCCGTCTCAAAGGGCTGAGGAGGTAGCTTCGTGGCAGTGCCCTTGGTTCAATCCCCAGTTTCACAGCAAAAGACACCACAAATAATACTTCAATACAATGAATTCCTTTATTTCTAATATTAGTATAAATCTTGAGTGTTATTCTCAAATCAAATGAGTAATTCACAAGTGAATTTATTTAAGCTAAATACGTATTGCAAGTAGAAGTCTTCTTGAATGTACTGCTGGTATATATCAGTATTTTCTGAGCTGTGCTAAATCATTACTTTTCTCAGGACATAAATATATATTATATTTTTAAGAATGTAAAGAAAACAATATTCCAATTGCTATGATCTTCAAAGGCTTTTCACAAGCTTTTCCTTGCAAAAAATTAATTAGGCTCACTGATTAGATTCCAAAATTATACTTTTAGTCTAAGAAGTACTTCATTGGTATGTATAGTTATGGATTTAGGGTAACTTCCACGATTTCCAAATAGCTACCCATTAAGGAAATGTCTGCACTTTAAAATTATTGAGCACTGTGTAAACTTGTGCAGAGATTCTCCTGCTGATTAAAGGTAATACTATGATTAACTTTGAAAATAATTATATTTTTCTCATCAATACCAAGAAGATTACCATACAGACTCTTCCCGTCATATTTTTGATTAAAAATATGTCAACCACCATAACCTTTAGCAAACTTCAGTACTTCAAGGGAAAACAGTTTTGAAGAAAGAAATTATTTTGAGTTGTGACTAATTCACCTCACCTAGTGCCTTGTGCAAGGTAAAGGGCCCATAACTATGAATTAAACAAAAAAAAGAATAATTAAATAAACCACCTACTTACCATTTTTAGCTTTTAGTGGTTTTTAAAATGTATTTTGGTATAATTTAATGTTCTGTTAGTATGACCATAGCAGGAAAATTACATTACTGTTGAAAGATAAATTTTTCAATTAATTTGTGTCCAAGATAATCCTCTATCAAAGTTATTACTAGCTTAGAGATATTTTAGGCACATTGACACAATATCATACAATTAAAAATGGTTGCAACTACTTTGACCCTATCTCCAGATACCCAGCTTCAGATGCTGAGAATCATATCCTTGGAGAAGTCTCTATTTCTGAAGAAAACTTTAGCGATGAATAATCCTACCAGGAATGAATGACTAGAATTAATTTTAGCATTCTACCTTAATCCCACTGACCCTAAATGGGCAATGACTTACACTAGTAGTGTGTGGTGTTTTTGTCAGTGCTCTGAGACAAGGTCTGGAATCCGAGGGACAAATGTATTTAAATAATTCATGAACCTGTGTCTTCACAGAATTTTAAAGTAATTACTTCGATCTTCTGGGCAGTGCTTTTCATTAGTCATTCGTCATTTTGTCGGAAGAGTGGTCTGTGGGCAGCAGTACATTTAAAACTAAGCAATCTTCTCTGTTCCAGTCGGTTCGGTGAAAATTTTGGGAATCAGATGCTTACATAACTAAATTTTACTCAAGTTTATTATTTGTGTTATGATTATGTCAAGGTGGTGCCTGCAGAGCCTCATGGCAACATGGGGGCTTCTTCGGGGTGGTAACTGGCCTCTGGGGGGCTTCACCCACTGGGCTAGTCCCGCAGTGACAGCTAAGTGTGCTGCTGGAGGGAGGTCTGCGCACGGCCCCTGGAGGTGCGCCCCGGAAGCGCTGCCCTTCCCTGCTCTCTGCCTCCTGCCTGCGGTGGGTGAGCGGCTGTCCTAAGCCCAGGCCCTGCCCCAGCATCTTTGTGCCTTGGGACGAGCCAGCCAACGACTAGAAACATGGACAACAAAATTCCATGCTGCCTATTGTGTCCCCGCAATGAGAACGTGGCTAAGTTAAGCATCGTATTTTCATCCCTGCTTCAATGAAGCTCTTTCTTCCATGAGATACGTTGAGAATTTCTTGGAAGAAAAACAGATTTGCTGTATCATTTGGTATAGAACAGTGGTATCCACTCTAATTGCATATGAAGGTGTTGTAGCTTTTAGAGTAGTAGAGAACAAGTACTGCAAAATATGATGGCCCTAATTTAATTTTTAAAAAATATTTATTTATTTATTAGATACAGGGTCTCACTACACAGTTCAGACTTTTAGTGTCCACCTGTCTCAGCCGCCTTAGTGCTGGGAGTATAGGCGTGAACCAGCACAGCCGGTTTTGGGGAAGGTGCAGCTTGTGGTACCAGGGATTGAACCTAGGTCCTTGCGCTTGTTTGGCAGGTGCTTAGATGGCTGAGCTATCTCCCCTGCTGTAATAGCCTTAATTATGAAATAAACGCTTATTTAGTAAAATATTTAAAAACATATTTCAGAATATAAGGGAAATGAGACAGTTTTGGGTTCAGCTGTCTCCACAGAGCAGGCGTACTATGTCAGGTAATTTCTACACCTTCATGCCCGGGTCCATACTTCTTGCCTATGTTAAGACCGTATTGAACAGTTATGGAATTAAAATGCTTAGTAGCAATGTTTCCACATCTGACCTACCTTAGATCTCTTCATATTTTTAAAACTTATTATTGGGGCTCCATGTAACCTAATATTGAAATATTAGCTCAGTGAAGCCACTCTTACCTTTTCAATTTGAAAACCAACTGCTTTGCTGAGGCTTATCCTGGCCCTGGTGTCTGGGCTGTGGCACTGCACAAGTACGCACAGCACCCACTGAGATTTGGTTCTTTAGAAAGTATTGGTATTTTAGTGCAAAATCTTAGCAGATGAGAGAAGATTTGAGCTCTCGCCACAGCTGAAATTTTACTTACATGTTAATCTCCTAATAATAGAACAGTGTCGAATATTTCTTCTATCCTTTCTGAACCATTTAGTCTGCGCAATTATAGAAAGTCCTAAATCTCCTCTTTTTTAATTTCCAAAAGAAAGAAAATAAACGTATTCATATTTGCTCAGAAAAATTGTATTTTGATCCAACTTCTAAAGTTATGTTTACCCGGCTCTTTCTACAATTAAATATGTCCTCCCTTCATTGCGGCTCATCTGAAAAGAATTTAAATGCATCCACTAAGAAAATCCTTCTGTGATTTTACTCCAAACTTCATGCTTTGCAGTACTTTGTAAGTGCTTGATGCTGCTTATTTCAGAGGAGATCCACCTCTGGTTCGATACTTTTATTCTCTATCGCCAGGCACCCAGTGTGAGATAAGCCCAAGAAGTTTTAGTGCTTCTGCAGTTAATGCACACCTGTCCTGAACTGCTTCCCTGAGTGCATGCCTGCTCGGGCTGTGAGCTTCAGTGACAGTGCTGCTTTTCCTTGGACTCCATTTGGATACTTCTGTGTCTCCACCTATCACAAAAGCCCAAGACACTGCCTTGTGTCTCCTTCTCCTACACCACAGTCCACACATACACACACACACACACAGACACACACACACACACACACAGACACACACACACACGCATGCACCAGCAAATCTATGGGCTTTAGTCTCATTGAATGACTAAGACCACTTCTTATATCTGAAAAGTATGATGTGAAAATTTCTGTCTTAGCAAACCACTAGAGTCCCTGGCCCACATCCTTCAGTGTGAAAACATGGCCATCCTCAGGGGCGTGTGTGAGATGCTTCCCTAAGGCTGGTGTCCTCCAGGGCACGGTGGACGGACCTCAAGTCACAGGCCCACATTACTGACCAATTCCCATTCCCATTCTTAGACAGGGCTCTGCAAGCTGGAGCCAAATGCTGGTGTATTCGTTGCAGGGCATTTCTATTGCCAGTGAAAATTCTAGACTCCATAAACAGAAATCTTTATAGCTGTTCTGCCCAGGTGCTGTGACATGAACTATTGTCCTGTGAATGCTGCCAGAGGAATTCAGTGAATTAGTACAAAGTGTATAGCAAATCAAATCAAGCCCATAGTGTACTGATGAAAGGCAACGGCTGGGGAGATAGCTCAGAGGTTTAAGCACCTGCCTGGCAAGTGCGAGGACCTGGGTTCAGTCCACAGTGCCACATGGCATGCTGGCCCCAGGAACCCCATGTGTGCTGT